GCGTACTAAATAAATATCGTGGAGTCCACAAAAGAAGGGTGTGTGTGCAGTGCTTTTGTTTGTGGACATGGAAAAATTTCCAAGATACATAGATTGAGCAGTAGTCGAGGCCAAGAAAATAACCGAACTCTTCAAATTTTCCTGCACTGATATTAACAGGGCTGTAACAGAACGCAAGATCACTCATAAAATTTCCCTCAATAACCTTCTGAATGGGTGTACAGTGCCTTACCGCAAACTCCTCCTATAAATTCGTGTCTTTGAACAAATCGCACGCATCGTAACTGGAAATGGTATGTTCGCAGTCATTTGCGGTTAGCCCATGAATCTTCCACTGTTCGCATTGCACAAAGCAGCCTCTAAACTTTGCTTGAGCATTGGAGTGAGAAAACTCTCCAAGCTGCCTAAATTCCACGGTCTCACTGAACAGCACACATGCTTGTGTACATCCGGTCGGTATGGTGTAGTTAAATAAGATCCAACATAGTTTTTGCAAACAATCAGAGGGTTAAATTGGCAGTACTACCCAGTTGAACTTCGGAAGCTTCTCAGTATAAATGCAAGGCAGTGACCAAGTACTGAGCCCTTTTGAATTCTTTACGGAATTTTGATAGTAGGCTAATAAATCTCACCTTTAGACTTTGGTGACTTGGGAAATTACCTGTTCCCCCTTAAACCGGATCACTTATTCCACAGATTTGAGGCTTATGAAGTAGTATGCGGTTATTAGAACGGTAGAACGCATTTGATGAGTCTAGACTAACAGCATCAACTTCCACACGGCTGCAGACGGTTTCGGTCCAAGTGGATCGGGTAGAAAGTAGGTTTGCGGTGCAAGACCGATTCAGGCAAAACTTGTCCTGCATGCATTCGCAAAGCATTTGAAGGTGTGTTATTGAACTATAGTTGACCGAATCTGTACTACGTCCTTCCTTGTGGACAAGAGTGCCGATTCCGTACTTCCGCATTGTAGGAACCCTCACGTCATCAAGCTATTGATGGAAGAACTGAGAAAGTGGTTAGGCCTAATTTATGCTGACCAACTTTAGCGCCTTTGGGCGGATATTCTCATCACCAGGAGAGGTAATTTCTGGAGAGGAAATTAGTCGCTTCATAACATCTACGGCCGTACACGAGATGTGGATAAGTCCTGCTGGTAGTATGACCTACGACAACAACTTAAACAATAATGGGGTGCTCCGGAAAATTGGTGGGAATTGCTGATATAGTGTGCTGGTCAATTCTGTTGCAGTTTGTGCTGGTTCACATGGCGTGTGTAAGGCAGGAACCCCTTGCTGCGCTTTACGGAGCTTGTTAACTTGTCTGCATACGAGTTTGCGACCTGAACAGAATTTAACGGCTAGGAATTGTTTGCGGTTTAGTGTGTCTTCGAGCACCATGTTCACGCATTGATTCCGTTGGACAGTGTAAGCTTCCCATGTATCTCACCCGGTGACTGCTTGTACTTTCACCAGCGGCAACCTCTAGTATTCATACACTCCCGCGTCCCGCTCCGGGTGAAGTGCTTTATTCTCATCCATACGTTGCTTTACCACATACGCCAGGTCATGATGACTCTGATGGCCACCCGAAACCTGTGGTGTCCTTCCTGATGTTGTTACGGCGGTCTGATTACTCACTACACTGGACTCCAAAACAGGCGTTTTCACTGCTTGCCACCGCATTGCTTAACCAGCAGCCTGTGGTCGTGTCCCGGCTGCATTCAGCTGAGTTTTGTTGGTAACCTGTTCCGAAACTCAGCCCAGTTCTCTAGTAGGGTCTGTATAGTTAGCTCCGACACTAACATCAACTTCCTCAACCTGGGACCACAACCTTTGTGATTATATGACACTGGAATCCTTGTCAATGAATCAACGACGACGTTTGCTAGAAAAGGTGCCTCACGGATGTAGTGCCGTTGCTCCCGGTCACATGCCTGAGCTTCGTCGGAAGAGGAAGCTTGAAGGTTTGGAACACCGTGAAAAACAACCGTTTTCTTATCATTGTGTCTTCGACTTCCTTCTTGATTGTTCGGATCCTTAGAAAGTTCCTTTCACGAGATTTCCGGTAGTATGCATACACCTCCCGATGCGTTGCGGAGTCGATTCACAGACATCAGAATAGCCCCCGCTTCATCTGCAGAATTTAGCGTTAGTAGAATTAGTCGAAGTTCACCATAGGACAGTGTGTTTCGGTGAGGTGCAATGAGTCAGGAAGGATACCGATTGCACTACAGATGGAATCTCACTGATTATGATCGTTTTTCAACTAATCATTTATTGCATTGGATTTACATTCAGGAACTTATGTGCATGCAAAGCTCAAGGCGTGATTATTGCTCTTGTTGCCTATCGACTTAAAATCATTAGGTTTTGTTACCTTCTGGGGATATATGGGATATGACGGCGATAGTAATCCATGCTGTGACATCTTAGATTTTCACAGTCCTGGTAGGGGAGTCACGAGCCTTTTCCGACATTTTCCTGGAGATAATCGATGCGTATGATGTGCATATATCATTTTACTGTGGACTGGCTATAGCTTCAGGTTTTCGGTATGGCAACTGAAGTACTGTGTGCGGCACCCTAAGAGGAAGTTACAATTAAAGAGTTGTAAACGAGCTTTTCACTTAGGGGGGTAAAATAGGCTAGGACATTTGGGGACTGAGACGCTGGAGAGAGGTGGGGCTTGAGTCGGGAATTTACATTGGTTCTTTGAAATCCAAGGGTAGCGTTGTTTACTTCCAGAAATGTAGCCATGGTGTACACCAGTTGCTCACGTGCTCCCGTCGACAGTTCCACATTACGATTAGTACGATTAAACAGAGAAAAACCGGGATGGATTTGTGTACTTGGTAGGACCAAAACGTCTCAGTTGTACAGTTGTGCTATATTGCTTTGGGTGGAGTCATCTCTACAAATTTGAGTGAGATAATTCAGAGTAATTAAAACAGGTTAGTCACAACTGGACGATAGCAACATATATGTCGCATTTGCCCTGGAGTGGACTGGGTTTATTGGTGGCCCACACTTTCATGGTCCCCTGCAGATTGTAAAGCCAGTCAAACGTTCAAGTTTCCGAAGCCCACATCGATGGGGGTGTAAAAAACATTCTCGACCCTCCTCACAGCAGCTCAACTGCAGTCACTGTTGTGGTAAACGTACGCCTTGTGTTGACCATCAAGTCGGTAAGCATTGGCTGCCTCTAGTCAGAAGCCTGGTTCTGAAACTAAACGTCAAACATATGCGTAAAATAAGAGAGCACAAATTCTTCTATGACCTTCTAGGGTAACACTATACTAGTATAAACTTGAGATCGTTATGGCTCATTGGTGAATCTATGTCCAATGATGTTAAACAGATGACGTTGAAGCCTTAAAGTAGTTAGTTCGGGCTCGTGAGTGTACGAACGACAGCAATTTAGAATACTTGGTGTTGCTAGAATCTTAACTGGCAGATAACAACTCCGTGTGTAACGGTTCAGTGAATAGATCTAGTGAATCCGATTCGTATAAACCTACGAAGAATACGCTTAGGAAAGATATGGATTGGATAATTCGTAAAAATACAGAAGTGCGTGAACTACGCATTTGCTGGTAGAAGTGGAGCCACATCCTCAATCGTAGCGTTGCAGTTGCCATCCACCAAGAGGTGGATGCATTTCGGTTGAAAAGGAATCACTAAACGCGCTTTCAAAAGTTTGGGGATTAACTGGTCAAGTCTAGTTAGGACCATGCTCATTCGAACCATTAAAATCCACGAACTTATTTCTAAGATCAGAGCACTTAAATCACTTTTATAAGGTGCATGCACGATCAGTATATTCATGTAATACTTCTACCTTTTTACTACCTTACTCAGAGCAGAGAATGCAAGCTTTGTCAAGCTACACTTAGGGACACGGTTGTTGGATATCCCATTAGCCAGTCTAAAGAGGATGAATTAACGGACAACACGACTTATGATTAGTCTACATGAAGGCCGACTATCGATCGATCGAACCATGACACGTTCAGTGCGGCTATGGGGTGTCCGGCTCACATCCAGTTCTCACAGTCGAACGGCTTGCGTTCCCTAGGTCTTGCCATGCGGTCTGTGATGTCTGCCTAAAGTTCACTTCTCACGGCCGAACGGCTCGGTGTGCTATGCGACAGTAGGCACACATGTGGCGTCTGTTTCCCATCTCAAACCTGCCGGCAAAGCAAGTTGCGCCATTGGACGGTTTGCAATTCATCGTACCGGTTGTATGTCAGCACCTGAGTGCAGCTGCTCCTAGCTCCGGACCAGCTTGTCAAAACACCCGGTAAAACGTTGCAAACATTTTTGGTCACTTTTCACTAATGATGTTTCCCTTAGTAAGTAAATAGCTAAACCGCACCCACTGACACCAATAAGCAGAGCTCAAAAGAGAGCATATTTCGGTAGAAACAAGGTTTGGGCTTCAGTACAATGCGGCAAGTGGTTACACGCTCCGACAATTCTCTCCAACTGGCCAAAATCGCGTTAGCAATAGTAGTTTTAACTTTTAAGAATGTCAGCCGTAATTGGATACATAGTTGGGTACGTTAAACCGTACTGAATACTGCATGAATGTTTACGTATCACGCTCAGACTAAATCAAACTATTGGAAGAATAATACATAAATCCTAAATAGCAGCAAGTAAGGTCACACTTTTTCGGTTATGGCTGCTGTCACTGCGCATGCATCCTCGATGTCCTCTGAAGGACGCGTATGGAATCCGAGGGTAATTTCGGGGATCACAAAGCTTTTTGTCCAAATTATAACAAAACTAAAGGCGGACAACTTGTAACAAAAAAAAACGTGTCTTTGATGTAATTCGCCTCCCACTCAGCGCTTCTTAAACGCGGACTAAAAAATGGTCTTACTCGGCCACTAATAGGCGAAAGTCGTACAAATAGTGCGCCTTCGTAGTTTACATTTCTTTTCTGACTTGTCGCTATGCAGCGACGATACTAATAGCAATAAAAACACCAACTTTAGGGAATAATGCATACATTTGGATTCACGTGCAAACAGCGCATCACTCGCGAAGAGTAAGTCGCTCAAAAAGATATTCTCCCAGACCAGGTCCGTTGCGTTTTGTCTGCGTAATGTAGCCAGCGAACTCCCTGATGGATTCCACTTGTTCTCGTAGGAATTCGCTCTCCAGGAAATCCTGGAACGCTGGGTCCTTTTGTTCTTCCGAAATAGCATGTAATTGTAGCAGTGACTGAAAAAGGCACATAAATATATCGCATAATATGCTTGCAGTAATGTGATTCTAACTGATCAAACGGAGCCACGTCTGAGATACTTCATCCAAGCATTCCTTTAAATCAACCTAACTGAAATCATTAATGTTTCCACTTTATTTGCTTTTTAAATGTCCACACAAATCGCCTACACATGAAGGTTAACTTTACGGGCAAAATATGACACGGTATATGATATGATTTCTAAAAAAGAGGAACTTCAAAACGACCTAGCTTCATGTGTACGCTATATGATTAATTGTAATTAATTCAAAAACAGTATTGTTGTTTTGACATTTACTGATTTGTCAACAGTAGGGTAGGAACAGAACAGTGGTTATTTAATCGCATACCAAATTTACCAAATGTAGATCCCAGAAGATTTGCAGGGTGCTAATTCGGTACCATCAGGTAGTACCCGAAAATTATGTCCATGTTTGAGAATCAGATGAAAGCCAAGCCTTCACATTGTTCCGAAAGCATGGTCAACAGCATTCGCATGGCACCAGCATGTCCGCAACGCTAATGTGCTTAGCTGAATTTTAGGCAGTAATAATCAGGCTAATTTCATCGAACAAGAGATAGCACAGCATAAGAAGCGTTCGCTTGGGTACGTTATACGGATATCCGGTCACCGCATACTGAGAAGTGCGTTGTTTTGTTTGCCAGTTGTAATGAGACACAAGGCCCGAGTTGGGTGACATTTGGCTTGACGGCTGGAAATTAAGTCCCTGACTGCAAAACTGAATACCGTCGGTCCTTCTCGCCTTCCAGCGGGGGTCCATGTGGCTCACCCTGTGTTTGGCTCTAGACTTTATAGGGCATAGCTCGCAGTCGGCACCAGTGACGCGTCTGTTGTCGCCTCCTAGTCAGGCTGCCTGCTTAAAATGTGCCTGGTGCTGAGTTAGCTGCGTGGTAGTGCCTGAGTATACCGCGGGGCATGAAACTGCGATGAAATTGTTTTGCCAATACCACCTTGTCCTTGCATGAATGCCAACTGTTTGTGTCGGTATGTTGCTGACAGAGTGTGAGTGCCTTGACCCGGAATGCTTGCTTCGGGAATTACGGTTTCCCAGTAAGTCCCCATTCTCACCATCGTATTATTCCTCACTTCGTGGGCTACGGCAACTTTACGGCAGCGAAGCATCCGTTCAACTGGCTGATGTACTACTGTTGTTTATGACGATGATGATGGTCAACGGCTCCATTTAAGGATCCCTTTTTTAATCGCTTCTTTGTACATATTTGGCAATGGGCGCATCAGTTTAGAAGTCTTTAATAACACTGATCTAACCCAGTCGGACTTCCAGGTTGGGACTTAGTGACATTAGAATTTGTCTGCACGCTCAATCAACTGGTTACAGATGCTTCAGAGACAAGCGTCTGCAATGGGTCCAAACAGTTTCTTTCATAAGGAGCAGAACACGAAAATGGAGTGCAGTACACAACGCAGCCTGGTGAGTGTATAGATCATCTCCAACATTAAAGACTTAACACGTATAAGTAGATCAATGTAAGCACTGTGTTCAACTGCTCAGGAAAGACTTAGGCACACATCAGCAGAAGGTTCCACAACCTTCACTGCCAACCGCAAACTGTTGTGTAAACACTTCCAAGACTTTTGTAAGGTAAGGCAGGGATTTCTTCCGTTACGGACAGCTGATGGTCTAACAATAACGGATAGAGAAGCAGCATATACATCGCGGAGGTGATATGCTCACACATACGGACCAACTTTTGAACCTCAATAGCAACCACCTAACGTGCCACATAACACCTACGTACGGACACTATTTCGCAGGATTAAAACACTGTGCAGTACAGCGGAAGCCAAACGAGAAGATGAAAAAGGGCTATTCGATTCGTTTGAACGCAGTGGACACCCACACGGCTTCATCCGCAGACGTCTAAACCACAAATCTACAAACACCGAGCCGATGCCAAATACAAGCAAGAGAATCGTTTTGCCATATACGAAAAACATATCTGCAATGACTGCTAGATTGCTCAAACAACACCGCATCGTGGTCGCTCACAAGCCAACCGCTACTTTGAGGAGAATACTGTCAAAGTCAAAGGGCAGTCGGAAAGCACAAGAAAGAACAAACGCCATGTATAAAATAAATTGCAATAATTGTGAAATGAACTATGTGGGACGGACAGGAAAGAAACTATTCACAAGGATACAAGAACATCAGGGGGCTTGTAAAATAACGTTATGCATCGTCTCTTGTCTCGGCGAATATAAATGAGGATGGACATGGCTTCAGTTGGAACAAAACGGAGATTCTAACTCCAGCAACGACACAGAAAGGAAGAGAACTCCTAGGAACCTGGTACTCCTCTAATAATTCTATCAATATGCGCATCGACATCGATCCCGTGTACCATCAGCTCGGTAAGAAAGATCTCCGGCGAATAGAAAGACATGGTTCAGCCGCGGAAGAGAATGGGCAAAGACCACGAGGTGCAAATTGCAATTATCACTTTTAAAAGTTGCCTGTGCGTCGATCCCGGATTGACGATTCAATATGCAGGATTGTACACTGCATATCACTGCACAGAAGATGCCACCTCGTATGGTGGCGAAACGTATGCAAGCACTGTCAAGCTCGGAGAAGCGATCAACAGTTGTGCAACTCACCCGGGCTACCAGTGTTTCTGACTAGACCCCTAAACCACGTATCGGTGTTCAGTATGTCGTTAATTTGTTTGACATGCTCTTGTCGCGTTGCGTAAACACTACGTTGTGTACCTTATCATTTGTAAAACAACCACACGGTGGTACTTGCTGACGAGGTTATCGCAACTGATCACTCACTGTACAACCTTGCTTACGTGATCAGGATTTCAGGCGAACAGTCGTAATGAAAGTGTGGGCTTCTTTGAAAATAAGAGTAAAGCTTGTTCCTCCGAGCCGAGACACGACGATTCGGTACACACAGTTCTGTTAGACAGTTAGACATCATTTACAAGTAAACGAGGGTTATTAGTTTAACATATTCATATCTAGCTATAATTGATAACAAAACAACGATTAACATCCAATGGCATCGATAGATCATATTAATCACCTACCTCGTTTACTGCCCTCTCCATTTGTAAAGCTGTTTCCATCGCCTCTTGTAAAGTTGCAAAGGTTGCCTTAACTGGCTTTTTGATATCCTGAAATACTACTCGACCTCCACGGAGATTTTGGTATTTGACAAATTTTTCAGCGTGCTCCCGCTCCTCGTGAGACATTTTCATGAAGAACTTTGAGGCATCCGGAAACGCCACATTGTCTTGGTCGAAGTAACTAGCGAAAGCTAGGTAGGCATAGGAAGCCTCCAACTCCATGTTAATCTGTTTGTTGATGCCGGCTTCACATTCCCGAGAAAAATTTTGTCTGACCAGTGAATCCATGTCGAGGAAGAGTATCGAATCAAGTGAACAGCAACTGCGAGTGGATTAAATAGCCACCCGTTCGGCCTCGATTGTCACCAGGTGACTAAGCTGTCTCACACTCCATCGCCAGCAGTCACGAGCGCTGCAAAACCAAGAGAAACATGTGAAAACGCGTGGTACACGTGAAAGCGTTTCACGCTCGTTGATGAATGGCAGGCGCAGTGGCCAGCGAGACCCCCATAACATTTTAAGTCTCTGTCACAAGTTGTTTATCAGTTGTGCGAGTGATGTGCTTCCGTCCGTGTGTAGACGAAATAGTCAACTAAGCAGATGGGTTTATCTGGAAGGTTTGATGACATCGGTCATCTCCGACTTAGAGTTGGTGGACGTATACGATAGTTCCGTTGATAGTTCAGAGTAACCAATTTTCTGTTCGTAGGGTACCCAAGCGTTTGTTTCGCATAGATGTTCATCAGTTAATTTCCGCCAAAAGTGTGCACCGGAAAAAGTGCGAGAGTCTCCACACTTGAACCCTATGGCGAATGGCGATAATTTGATAAAGGCAAAAACATTTTTAATTCTTGCCGGAGAACTCACGTTGTTCATCTGCCAGATTACAATTAGAGTTAGGTCAACTTGTTGTAACCAGATGAGCATGGTGGATTCACTAAATAAGGAAAGCTAATAAGCCTCTGAACGTTTATCTTGGCTGACTCCGCCTTCACCACATTTTGCGGGTCAATTTTACCACCAATTTAATTACCTCAATGTTTAATCTGCTAGTAGATCACTACTTGTAGTCCCATTATCTCATTATCACCAAGTGGACTAGTGTCTTTATTGTAACGACTGCAACACACCACTTTCAGATTCCTGGATACTACTGTGGGATCCTGCATTCCATTTAGTGTTAAAATAAACTAGTCCAGTGGTGTTGAGAAGCTACTTTTTCAGTCAGACTGAGCCATACAGCCACCACACATCCAGGAAAGCGCTGGAAGGCGGTTTTGTCCTATTGAGACTCCTCAGTAGCGAGTACTCGCGGACTCCTGCAGCATCCGAATCCATGACACCACTAGTATATGAGTCGGTGACTTATGCCACTTAATCATGGGTGACGGCGGCGAATTGCCATTGCACCACATCTACCTACTAAACATTAGTTCAAGTCTCTTTCACACACACCAATGCATAGAACACAGCTGCCAAAATGCACAGTATGCTGTAATAGCAGTGCTGTTCTTGTCTGAACACCACAAGACGGATTACATTTTCGTAGGAAGTTTCCTTCTTCCACCACGCTCAAAAATGAATAAAAGAGTTTAAAGTAATTGCTCCAGTAATCGACACTGATGGGTTACGAAACTGGAAAACAGTGCCATAACTTGAATAATGCGTTAAGAAGACAAAAGCTGGTAGATGCATGCATTTCCTATTGTCTCGTCAGTACCTTTAACAATAACCGATATGCAACCATATAAATAACTATGGGTGTAACCAAACAAGCTTGGGGTACGAAACGAATGACGGAAGTTCCACCCGTATGTCCATGGCAGTCTTAAGCTCATAGTTCGTGAACACACAGGGCGAGCTTCATCCGGCTTCTGGCCACAGCCTCGGCGAAACGGAGGAAGCGAATATTAGAGTGACGTAACACAATTGTGAACACAGATCCGAGCTGTATCCAATGACGCGTGACCATTAGGTGTCTACCTATTGAGGAAGCTGACGGCCTGCGCAAGGATGGAAATTCAGGGGGAAGGGCAGGGATGTCGATCAAGTTCATGTTGAACCCACCTCGGTATGTGTTCCTTTATTCGGGAAGTCAATAGTAGACCACTTCTGCCTATGCAACTATATACGCGGTCACACACGAATACAGTGGGAATTTGTCTGCGTAGCTGACAAACTTTTTGTGGTCTTCAGTGTAGAGAAGTCACCCTTGAAGGGCAACTCGATATATATCTTTTTCTTAGCTGCTCTATGCACTAAGTCCTTTGGGCCTTGCTGCTGAGTATTTTGCTACGAAGCTGCTAATATAACTATTCGCTATAAGTGTAGTCGTAAGTTATTCTAATTCCTCGGCCAGACAATCCACCGAGCAAATTCGTCTAGTCCGACTAACTAAAGTTTTCACAAGGGTCCGTTCTTACCGCAGTTGTGTGAAGCTGGTGAAATGCAGGTACTGACCGGACCATGTACTTTTCTGTAGACGGATCTCTTAATTAGTCTATCATTCCTGCGACTAATAATCATGTGCAAGAATGGTAGACAGTTCTTCTGCTCTACCTCACAGGTGACCCGCAAGTTGGCATGCGCCCAGTTAAGCTACTGCACTAACTAAACGACCTGCTGATCCGACGAACAAAAAGTGAATATGTCATCCACATGGCAGCTCGGCTGTTTCTGTTGATTTGCCTCCTTCCATCATCAACATACAGAAATCGGTGAGTACAGGGCCACTCCATCGATTGGACGGTATGACGTATTCTGAAAGTGCAAGCCAACCTTTTCAGTACACAGCAGCAATGGTTCTTTCAGAAGTTCGGCTGGAATTGATAACGAATAACTAGATTGCTCACCTAGCTCGCAGATATAATAGACTGTCTGGTGTGGCGGAACGTTAGTGAACAGAGATTCCACATCCAGTGATCCCCTCTGGGGTGAAAAACCACGCGTTTACAGTAGGTTACAAATTTAGCAGCATGCGGCGACAGCAGAAAGAAACTAAAAATGAGTTTATTTCTAGACTCCTAACCGCTCTTCCTGACAGTGGCTATGACCAGATCAAGCCAGCCCAATTCGAAGAAGCAATGCTTTTACAGGTATTAATTGTTGGTGCTCTTGACAAGAAGGCACGAGAGAGCCTGTTATTGGAAGACGAAAAGACCTTGACTTGGGAAGGAGCCTGTGACGTTGTTCGAAAACGCTCCAGTCCAGTACACGAACTAACTGCATTCTGCTCGCCTAATCTGACAAGTTCGCAAAATGTACATAAAGTCTCTCAGACTAAACCTGATAACACAATGTTTCGCTCCGTACAACGCAGATAATTCCGTTGTTATCGCTGTGGTGAGCATTATTCAACACCTGCTGGTTATCAGCTACTTCATTCGATACACAGATTTCGTGGGAAGAGAGGACACATCCAGAAAGTGTGTCTTTCCAAACGAAATTCCGTTTCGCAGGGAAACTTTACAACCATAAATCAGATCACCGAGGAGTTAAATCAGAATTGGATAAACACCATGACCGTTTTTAATCACAATAGCACCGCGGAGAAACCATTAGTCGAACCCTTTTCGCTTATCGAAACATGGCAAACGAATCGCCGGTAGAAGCCCCGTGGAAGTAGTATACGGCGGTCCGCTGTGTACGCAGTTGGAGTTATTACACAGTACCTTGATTAGGAGGTTTGAAAAATAAGAATGCGCGATACAACGCTCTGACACCTGCAGCAAAGACAGGCTCGTAGAAGAACCTAATCCCATGTAAGTCCGTTTACCTATGGATTCCGAGTGACAACCGGTCATGGCTAAAATAGCTAACGGTCTAATCATTGGAGCCAAAACTGGGGATGACAGGATTGCCAGATGCCAGTTAGACTACGTAAGTTTGAGACCGTTGACCTTAGCAACAATCGGTGAGTCTGAAATCCAGACATCAAAGATGATCGATTCCCAAGTGGCCGTTGCTGAACCACCGAACCAAATGCCTCTACGTCGGTCTACGCGCCAACGCCGGCCGGTGGATCGATTCCAGTTTGGATAGCTCAAACCACAGAGGGGAGCAGTAATACGCCTTGCGAAACGCTTACCCCTTGCATGCTTTCGTGTGTGTATACTACGGATATTGGCCGTCTGTCGTAACTAGCGACTGGTAATTTGATTCTGTGTTCACGTGAGTTCAAATGCCTTGCATTCCCTTTTTTGGTGTATAGTGCTACCAGTGGTTTACCTGAATAATCGTCTTACTAAACAGCTCTGTTTCCTGTTTTCTTCTTGGCATAACATTAACGTTATCCAATTCCTCGATAAGTTGAGGAATCCTTAAGACTCTAGGGATTGGTCAGTTGCCGCAATGGTGAAAGGATCTTCAATAACCAGCGAGCTAATTTTTGATGCAGCGCATATATAGAATCGGTCTAAGTGGCACTCCGCTGTTGTGCGTTTGCGGTGACACATACGGTTGTGGAATAGTGCTGCCAGTTGGCTTCTAACGTTTATGGATGTCACCATCAATCACACGATGAAGAAGAAGCATTTCAAGGTGAGTAACTAGGCGGCCTTCCACGTCGGCTCTGCTCTCCGCCTTCTTAGCTCATTCAAACTTGCTCGTTTAACATAACACGGTATTTTGATGGACTTTTCGCTGGTTATTGAATCCAACTTAATCTGTTCACGACGCTGGCACCCATAAGATCGGAGAGCAGGTTGCTTTTTTCAAGGGAAGTTATTAGTTAACTGGAAAATGGCCCATGGGTTTTGAGAAATCAGTATTGACTATGAAGTTATCACCGTGAGTATGCAAATACGTCACCCCAGACCACGGAGCACTTTATTAACTAGATAACTGAACCCAGCAAAGTGTCCGGTTTATTTTAGGTGGTCACTGCTTACTCAGATAGATAAACCAGCCATTCAGGAATAGCTGTTTAATGTTACTACACTTTGTCAAGCGAAAGTATGATATAAAATCGTGCGAGTAATAACCACGTTCGTCAATCAGGAGGACGCCTAGTCAAGGAAATAAATAGTATTCAAATCTAATTAGACGCCTCTCACTTATAGTCATCTCAGAATACCATACGACGAACTGCTTTAAGGTGCTCATTGTCCTACAAGACCACAGATGGTAAAATACTTAAATGTAGTTTTTAAGGCATACCAAGATCTGCATTTAGTGCTTCACAGGTAGGCAAAATTAGCGACCAATAATAGCGCAACGAACCCTGACTGCTGGGTACCTACCACAGAACGCGTAGCGCCATCATTACTACTACTGGATTTACGCCATCCAATAAAGCACATGACTAAACTGGCGGCACACTTCGGTATGGTGCCAAAGTAGGCTAATTGGTTTATTTCTTGATAATGCCAACTTACGGGTAAAAGTTCAGTCTATATATATATATATATATAT